GAATAACCAACAGCTCTGTGGAGAATTTGTATGCGTTTGATGTCCTTGGCTTGCAGGCTGCTGTGATTTTGTACTTGCATTCGGTTGTTTCTGCACCAAGACCACTTATCTTGGCTGTGATTTTCTGTTTTGGTAATCCCAGCAGATTACAAGCTTCTTCTGTGATAAATGACGCCTGGGACCCTGGGTCAATTAGTTCACGAAGGTTTTCATAGGTATGTTGATTGGCCTGCACCTTAATTAGTGCAGTTGCTAGGAGAACCGTCTTGTTATCTTCTTGAATGTGGTTGGTAACAGCAGTCATAGTTGAATTTGATTTTGGTGCTCCATCCTTGTTTGCTCGCTTATCTGGTAATGGCTCTTGATGAAGCAATGTGTGATGATTTTGTTTACATATCATGCATTTCCTTGTGGAGTTACATTTCGTGTTGAACTCATGGTTTAAACAGTTGTAGCATAACTTTTTTTCTAAGGCATTGAATTTTGAACAATAATTGATATAGTGTTCTTCAGAGCAATACTTGCAGGAAGGTTTGCTGTTGTGACGGACAAAGTTTTCTTTCACTGATCCCTTTCCATGAACTTTGCTTTGGGCTGTGCGTCAAGGGATTGAAAACGTCGTAAAATAAACGCCAGAAAGTCGGAGAGTTTCTGGAGTTCCAATGGATTTTGAAATGTGACTTCGTAAAGTTCATTAGTATGTGCATCTATTTTTTTTGTTAGAATGCACAACACCAATGTCGTGTCAACTTTCAACATGCTGATGGCTTGTAGACACTCCATCGTAGTGTCGTGTAAATTTTTCAGCTCTTTTGCCGATTCTTTGTGCATTACTGGAATTTCCAATATCTTGTTTATAAGAGTAGTCACAATTAATCGTTGGTTGTGATACCTTATCTGAAGCGTTTCCCACGCAGATTTGTAGTTAGCTTCAGTTATTTCAAAGTGTTGGATCAGTCGACTTGCCTCTCCCTTTGTGTACGTTTTAAGGTAGTGCATCTTGTCAACTTCCGGAATCGTGATATTTTCATGGTTTGCCTTTGTGAAGATGACCTGAAAGATGCCCCATTCTTCGTATTTCTCTCCAAATGTGAATCTGCAGGGTTGGCAGTTTGATTGTTGACTTGATCGTTGAATCAGTTACTTTTGTGTTTGTTGTAGTTAGTTGAACCATTGCCATAAGTACTTGGTTGTACTCTGTCTTCAGCTGTTGAAATTGGTCGTGCAAAGGATACATGGACTCATCTGCGTGATTTACTCTAACTTCCATGTGCTTCCGAATTTCCTGAAGTTGGCATTCAATTTGAACAGCAGACATGTCGCTCATACTGTTCCGTGTGCTACCAAGGACTTCTTGTACGTCTGTAATATGAAAGCCTAGTTCCTTGACGCGACGCATCTGATTAGCATAAGAATGTGGAGAGATGTTTGGTGCCTGACAATTTTGGACCTCTTCTGAACACTTTATGATGTCGCGGCCTCAGTGGTGTTTGACTCGATCTGGTTAATGAATTTCGATGTAAAGTATTCGTGAGTCTTGACGCCACAACTTGTCATCATTTCGTGATTCTTCTTGGCCTTGTCCAATAGCGCTGCTGCCATTCGTTCGTTAAGGTATTGCTTCATTTTTCTGCTTGGACCATCTTTTTTCATGTTAGACAAAATTCTTTCGTTGTTAATGCCTTCTTGGGCCTCACAGAATTCTTAAAATTTATCCATGGCTTTATTTCTTGATGCTTCCTGAACTGGGGCTATCAAAGGGCTGGTTGTTCGAAAGACCAATGTTTATTCACCAATCACTGGGCGAGTACAAGGATAATCCTTGATCTTGCTCACTTCCCAGTTCTTAATGAACAATGATGAGATACCAAAATAAAACCAAATGGAATTCGTTTTGGAACTGATTTTTATTAAAAACTTATTGAGTTATATACAAATTTACAATATAAACAAAACAGTAGTTCTAAACATTTATAAAATAAAACAATATATAAAATTAAACAACAATAACAAAAAACACATGCATCTTTGTTGTGGAACTGCTGGTTGCCGCAATTGGTGCACTGCTGCGTAAGGTGTTCTCGTTTAATTACCTGCTGCTATACGCAACTTTGCACATTCCTGAATTTTTGATAGTAACCTTTTTTAAACTCAAATTCTATTAATAATTTTTTTCTGTTTAATTTTTAATTAAACAATTGGTTTCTATAGTACGTGAATTTAATACAAATAAATCACTTGATTAAAAGTTTTAATTTAAAACTTTAAAGTTTATACTTGTTTTTGAGTAAATATTTATTTTTTTGCTTGTATTTTTTGATGAATATTTAAGTATATCGTTGTTAATTTTTTGTTAGAATTTATTTTAAGTAATATTTATTATTTAAGTTATTTATGCATTTTTTTAAATAATTAAAAATTAAAAAAAAATATTTTATTAGTTAAAAAATACTGTTTATAACCTTTATAAAAAACATGTTTAAAAAGTTTAAAACAAAATGTTTTGAACAAAACTGTTTAAAACAAGAGTCTTGTTTAAAACATGTTTAAAACGTATGTTTTAAACATTTTGTTTTAAACATTGCAACCCTGATGGAAACAGAGAAAATTCGTTAGAGTCGATAAAAAATATTATCTATTTGAATAAATTTACATAAAATGAAGTCTTTTGTATTAAAATTTGTTTGTTATTGCGCCAGTTTAATAATTAAAATATATAAAACACACGTGCTAAAGTTATAATTAGAGACCGGATTATATTCAACATGAAAAGTGCTATAATTTTTAATTTTTTCATTTCAAATTTTTTATTGTATATATTTAATATATTTTACAAGTCTATACCTTTTTAATGTCTTTTGCGAGGGGTAAACCACTTAAAAATCAGCGAGACCAACGTCCAACCGTTGAGTGGTTTAACGTTATGTGGACGCTGTGTTCTAATTTTTCCTTATCAGTCGTTATCAATAAGGAAAAGACCTTATCAATAAGAAATTTCTCTAAACGACGCGTTGCGCATGACTACCCTTGTGATTGTTTTCCTTAGCCGTTAATCTGTATGCGCTTTTTATTTTTAATAAGTCAGTGGTTTACCCCTCGGTCTTTTGTAGGAGTGTAGTAGGTACCCCCTTTAGTCAAATATAAATTGTAAACAAACGTTCCACGACCACCGAGGTTACTGGGTACTGCCCTACTAGAGTTACTCTAGTGCCATCTTTTGGCCAATGAACCAAACGACATGTCAAAAAAACATACATTTTTAATTTCAATAAAGGGAACCACAGGAATGATTTCCTTTACATTAATCATTCTGTCACTTGGATCCATTTACATTTTTAAAGTATGTGCTGTTGTTTTGATTGTTTTCTTGACGTTGTTGGTGTTTTAAAAGTGTTTAATCTGTATCAATTATTGCAATGAGTGAGAGAGCCAAAAGGATTTTAAAGCAAGCGCTGTAGAACACAAATGTCAATAAAAAGCAGAAGATTGTTGTAAGTACAGCATTAAGTTTTTGTTGGTTATGTTTTTATTTTTAATAAATCCAACTAAATAATATTGAGTATATTTTTTGATAAAAATTAACTCTGTATTTTAATATAGTACACTAAGTAACTGCATTCTAAAGTGTTTCTAATTCTGATTTGTGTTTTAATAAGGAAAATTTAGGTAATTAAAAATTATGTAAAAGAAACCAATTGTCAAAATATGTTGTAGATGTATAAGACAATTGGTTCTTATGCAATTTTGTGACACCTTTTGAGGATGTTGTTAGAAATTTGTTGCTTTTATGAATCTTTTATTTTAGAATACTTTGCCTACTACATGCGAAAACCAAAATGATATAGAAATTTATTACGAAATTGATGCAAAAGATGAATCCTACAGAGACAGTAAGTACTAGCTTTTTGGGCAAAATTATTTTAAGTTTTATGGTGGATTTATTTATACAAGGACTTAAATAAAATAAAAAATATTTTGAATTGTTTGGGTTTATACAACAAAATAAGAAAGTAAATTAGAAATAAGAATTTCTTTTAGATATCTTAAAATAACTAGGAATCAGTTTGGCTATGATAAAAAAAAATAAAAAAAGTAAACCACATCCAAAAATGACACAGAAGAAACCTTTCTTTTAAATAATATAAAATAGAATGTTAAAAGTTAATCAGCTTTTATTTTATGTCTTATTTTATATTATATTAATAATTAATTATTATTGCTCTGTCAGAACAGTCACATATAAAAACAGACACCTAAGTTCTTATTTTATTTTATTTCCTTGGACAAACCCAGCATTTAGGAAAACCTAAAAAACAAAATACCTGTAAATAAAATTTTCAGTAGAGAACTTTGTAAATAACGATGGCCACCATGATCAGATCATGATTCTCTAAGAAGGGACCTACTCTGCTGCAACTGACGACAAAGAAAATTTATTTCTCGACTCAAATGTTTTAAAAGGTGCCTTACAGTTTAAAATAAACTATTATGTAATATAATAATGTACATATTTTTAGGCTGCCCAAATACGGAAGAAAAGAGCAACTTTCCAGATTCTCCGAAAGAAGGTTCATCCATTAGATCAACATAACAATAAAATAATAATGAAAGAATTTACAATTACAAATGTTTTAGATGGTAAGACATTGTAAACAAAAATTTAAAAGCTGATAAGTTTATTAAGTTATGTCTGTAGGTGACCTTACAAAAAACAATTCTGATGTATCCAGAAAAACAATTTTGGGTATAAGTCAAAATGCAGATGGTTATGTTCAACCTATTGACACTACTTTAGATCCACTGCCCAAAAATAGTCACGTTTTAGTAGAGGAGTGTCCTATTATTGAAGATAAATTTAGAAGTTTTTTACAAGGTGCGCATATTTCTGACTATATCCAGAAGACTCCCGAAAAAACACAGATATTAAATCAAAGTTTTGACGTCACAGAATCTGAGCAGCATAAAAATAAGATATCAACGACAACGATTTTAATCCAGAAATGTTCAGCGACACCTCTAGCTCAAGTGATGCAGAAATCTCGTCAGAGGACTTAATGAGCGATGAAGAAATTAGAAGGGTTGAAAAGCTTAGAGAGGAGAAACAAAACTGGAAAGGGCGTCCTTAAAAATGACGACATAATAAGTACCCTGGCCAAACATTTTCTAAAGGAAAAAATTAAAAGACTCTAATATGAAGCATTATACTGTTAAGGGAAAGTTAAAAGAAAGTAAACAGTTTATAAATTTTCAATGTAATTGCCACAAGAAATGCATCGAAAACGTTCCAGTCGAAACTCGTGGGAAGCTGTTTTAACACTTTTGGAATTTAGCATCCTATGACAGTCAAACAGGGTTTACCGCGTCAACAGTGAAAGAATTCATTGTTAAAAGAAAACCATCTAAAAGTAACAGAAAACCCAAAAACTTTTCCAGAACATATTACTTAACAAATATAGAAGTCTGTCGAAGCACTTTTATTAAAACCTACCAAATATCAACAAAACGTGTAAATACATGTTTGACAAAATTGCGTGAAGGTCGATTGAAATATGAATGCGGCAATATAGGTGGCGATAGAATAGGAAAAAAGAAAATAAGTCAAGAGACTATCACAAAGATTATTGACCAAATCAAACAATTTCCGACTTATATATCACACTACTCCCGAGGCCAAACAGAGGCAACATTTTTATCCTACGACCTTACTGAAGCAAAAATGGATGAGATGTATTTGGAAGATGAGAGCAATCCAAAAGTTAGTTTTACCTTCTACCAAAAAATATTTTACACAAATTTTAATTTGAGACGTAAACCACCAATAAAGGACACTTGTAATAAATGCGACGCTTCTTCCACAAAGATAAACAATGTTTTTAAAGAGCAACTTCAAGCTTTACATGAAGAACACTTGGCGAACGCAAAATTGGCAAAAATTTCTATGCAAAATGACATGAAAGATGCGAGTACAAATCCTTTACAGGAAACACTGTGTTATGATATGGAAAAAGTTTTAAGTTTACCTAAACTTCCAACCAATATCGTTTATTATAAGCGTCAATTAGGCATTTACAATGAAAGTATCCATGCAGGCTCTACAAACAAGCCTTATGCGTTTATTTGGAAGGAAGGTGTGGCTGGCAGGGGAGCCCAAGAAGTTGGGTCCTGTCTAAAAAAGTTTATTGATCTTCATCTTAAAGAAGGAGTACAATACCTAATTCTCTGGTCTGATAGCTGCGGTGGTCAAAACCGAAATATAAAAATTGTACTTCTCTTAAAAAAGATTTTAAGTGAGCATCCTACTTTGAGAACTATCTATTTTAAATATTTAGAATCTGGGCACAGTTTTCTTCCAAATGATACGGACTTTGCCCAAATTGAACCAAGTTCGAATTTACACAATAGATGAATTTAGGTCAATCATTAAAAGGAGCAAGAAGCACAATCCTATTGAAGTGATTGATATGAAATCTGAAGATTTTTTTTCGATTCAGGATATAGAAAAACATATTTCAAATAGAAAAATAAGTGTTGATAAAACTACAGTATCCTGGTTAAAAACAAAGATAATAGAAATACAAAAAGATAAACCCTTCTCAATTTTTTTAAAAGAAAGCCAGGCTTCTGAGAGTCGATATCAAGAAGTTGACATTTCCAAAGTTTCTCGCGGAAGAAAAATCGTAAAAGATTTCTCTCCATTGACACCGCTTTACCCAGACGGTAAAGAAATTTCCAACAAAAAGGCGGAAGATATTAAGTAGTTGATGCGATTTATTCCATTAGATGCGAGACCGTTCTATAAAATAGGCAATATTCAAGAATTTCAGGATGATATCGATGGGTTTGGACAAAATTTGGATTTTGAAGTTGAGGAAGACGTAGTAAATGACTAAAAATATATAATTACATAATTGTTATGATGTTTTTGTTCCTTTGATTTTGCAACGTTCTGGAAATAAAGTCATATCATTTGTACAAATAGAAACATTTTTTAAACATACCCTCTTTTAATAAAACCCGAAGCTTTTTCAACTTTTTGGCACTTAGTTCTATCCAAAAATTTAAAATTTATAGTTTGTTGTTTATTCAAAAGGAACCATTTACCAAAAATACCTACAAAATCATGTTTCTAGCATAATAATCTTGGAGAAAATAATGCCTATAATAAAATATTAACTATCTGGCAATACCTAATTAAAAAATCTGGAGTTCTGTATCTCATTGTTTTAATAAAGCATTATAATCTTTAAGCTCTAATATCTCAAAACTACAATTTGGCCCTTGGTTCTTTTTAAATAAGCATAGTCCAATTGTTGAATATTGATCTTATTAAATTTAAGCTTTTATACTTACGACAAAACTTGCATACCTCTCGACATATTTACTTTAAGTTGGATTATAATTTAATTAAATTCGTGTTTTGATTTTATTTTCATGGGTAATTACACAAGTGCTTAAAAATTATCGATAATTTTGCTAGAAAGCATATTGCCTAAAAAATGCATGAGTTCATTTTCATATTTTGGAAAGAGCCCGACACCGAAGGTGGAGGCCTCTTTCCTCAAAATATGAAAATGACCGAATGCATTTTTTAAAAGGCAATATGCTTGAATGCAAAATTATCTGATTATTTTTATGCACGAGTGTAATTTGTTTAGATAATTACACGAATAAACTAATTAAATCATAGTTTTTGTTGTTCGCAGTATTTTTTGGTACACTATTTTTCACATTTTCATTAATTGATTCAAATGATCCTTTATCAAAACGTGACATTTTAAATAACTGTCACATTAAAATAAAAACTGACGTTATTTTTATTAATTTCCATGGATACGTGGATACAATGGAATTATCGATTCCTAGTAGACAATTATCGCTGTAATCAAGCGATAATTGTCTTGTAGGCATATATAAGAGGGTAATTATCACTATAATCTTTTTTCTACTCCCACCTTTAAAACACCCATTATCGTACAGGTTTCCATGACACTAAGTGACCTTTTAAATACACATTGATAAGTTGTGGCTTTATGGCTCTTTAGTCACTGGCTAAAGTTAGCGTTAAATGAGTTGATAGTTGTCAAATGTCATAATTATTAATTTCCATGGATACGTGGATACAATGGAATTATCGATTCCTAGTAGACAATTATCGCTGTAATCAAGCGATAATTGTCTTGTAGGCATATATAAGAGGGTAATTATCACTATAATCTTTTTTCTACTCCCACATTTAAAACACCCATTATCGTACAGGTTTCCATGACACTAAGTGACCTTTTAAATACACATGTGGCTTTATGGCTCTTTAGTCACTGGCTGAAGTTAGCGTTAAGTGAGTTGACAGTTGTCAAATGTCATACAATTGTTAGTTATTAGCTGGCCATACACAGGCGTTATTTTGCGCGGTTTATCGTGGCGTGTTGGGATGTAGCGGTTAGTATGCACGAAAGAACGGCATGGCAAAAAAAGCGTCATGTTCCATACACTTGATAAAGTATTCAAATGATTTAGCAAGTGATTGCTCGTGGTATATCAGTTTAAAAGGAAAAATCGTATGTGAGTGGGCAAAAAGAGTCATTTATCGAGTCGTTTGAAACTGCATGTGATCATGTACAAATTTTCAACGTGAAATTTTGCCAAGCAAAGGTAAACCGTGACGCGGAATGTGGCGTGTGGACACTCCACACTCCAGAGGAAAGCACGTCTGAAATCCCTTCCCGTTCTATCATTGCGCGCGGCGATACTCACTCACGTACATGATTTTCCATATGCTTTTGCAGATAACACAATAAACCGCGCGCAATAACGTCTGTGTATGGCCAGCTATTGTGAAATAATTCCAAAATGTGTAAATTATTTCATCATTTCAATACAAAATCTACAATAGTTTACTGGGCTAAATTTATGTTAACAGTCACATCGGATATATGTGCAATTGCGTTTCAAATTTTACAGATTATAAAGGTTATGTCAAATGTCGGAAACGTCAAAATAGTGCAGTTCTTGTAAAATATACTAAAATTTTTAAATTATTTTATTATCAGCTCTAATATTACAAAAGAGTGAGAATAAATTGAAAATAAGTTCACAGAAATTCAAAATCCTGTTGCAAGGCAATAGCCATGGGAGCCGAAGGGGTTTTCGAAAAGATCTAATTATTTTCAATTTACCCATATCTCATGTGTAATTTGTTGGATTATTTTTTGACAATGCTCCAACAATTATCAAATTACAAATATCAAAAAAAACTTTAATTATCATCCCAGCAATAATGTAAGTAAATAATTCCCACTGTTTTGACTGGCTTAAACGTTCACAATGTTTCTATTAGTTTTTAAAAACGTCAAAAAATAATCTTAATTTAAATTTATTAAAGGCGTATTCATGCTCACTTAAAATAAGAAATAAGAACGCGATTTATCGTTCATGCTGATAACATAAGAAATAAAAAATGTTGTCACACAATTATATTTTATTATTGTAGATTATATTTTGGCTATAAACGTAAACAACCGACTTCGACACTAAACGCGATCTCCAACACCATGGATCCATGGCCAGCACATAAAACCCATAAAACCAATTCACATACCAATTTTGTCCTTTGCGCAGTTTTATACACAAAAATAAGAACCAAAGTTAAAAGTTATTTATCTTTAGTCTTATTTCTTATTTTTATGAACATGAACCATTACTTTACATAGTTTTAACTTTTTATCTTATTTCTTATTTTAAGTGAGCATGAATACGCCTTAAATAGTTTACTTACGGAAATTTATACTTACAGTCACATTGGATATATTTTTTCAATTGCTTGTTGAATATCACACAATTGTCAAAATACGGTGCTCTTCTTGAAAAATAAAACTAAAATATGAAAATTATTTTATTATTACAATTGTTGATTACAAATTTACATTATTTATTAAAATTTATGTTTTTTGTTATATTAGATATATTTCCACAATTTGAAAAAGAAACTATCGGGTCTTTTAATTTTACTGGAATGGTATTTATGTTATCATTACTGGTTTCAGTTTCATTTATGTTCACATTACTGGTTTCAGTTTCAATTTCATAATTAAAACTTTCAACAACTTCAATGGTCTCAGCTCGGGTCTCAGTATTATCTTGCACATTGGTATTTTAAACACTATTTAAGATTTTATTGGCTGTTTCAATTTTGTTGTTTAAAGAGTGGTCTATATACCCCTCCGCAACAGCCCGAGTCTACTAAAATTGTTGCTGATGATCTTCTTAAACAATGGCCGGTGTAACAATCAGGATCAGACAAATTTAAAAATTTTGCTACTACACTGGCATTGTTGCCAAATTTATTTATTCCAATGGGCTGTTTTGTACATTTTCCTCTCTGGTAGTTCCTTAGATTTTTCCGGCAGTAAACTACTTGTTGCGAATGCGGCTGCTTGTGTCATTTCGGGTGGAGTGCCCATAAAAAGATCTTCACCTTCTATTTCCATTTCAATTAAAGCCCTATATCTATGATTTAAAAGCGTTTGGCACACTGACACTGACACTATTAAATTAACAGCTGTTTTAAACACATAAAACAGGTCCCTTTATTTGGTTACTAAATTTTTGTATAGATGTCGCTATATACAAATAATTTAATTGAATATTAAATTTATTTTTTATAATTATGATGTGTGTCGTAGAAAAAGTATAGTATGCAACTCGTTTATAAACTTTTATATACACTCATTAATTTAAGCACTCGCTCGCAAGCTCGCACGTGCCTAAATTAAATTCGTGTATAAAATTGCGTTTATCAAACATGATACATAATATACTATTATCTACTCCCCCATCGGTAAGCTTTGACTTTGTGTTTATCTCAGGCTGAAGTTAGCAACAGTGGCTTTTGGGCATTTTAGCCACGAGCTGAAGTAAGCTTTATTATAAATAAAAATTGGAAAAAGCGAGGTTAAATCCGTTGACAGTTGACAGATGTCAAATTTTTAACAAATTAAATTGGCTTTAAATTCTTCTTTGTGTTCACGACAATCAGTGTTCGCGAACTTTCTGCTCTCGACTCGTTGCTGGTGCTCGCGTTTCAAAAAGACCGGCAAAAGTGGCGATAATATTTCTTAGCAAGCGTTGGCGACGGCAGCATCGGTGGCGGCGACGGTTCTCTGATGGTCGGGCATGCGCGCCGCGTGCCTGAAGACACGCTTGTATAACCTCCACTCTACCACCTCCGTTGGCCACCTCCACGTTGCCGGGGCAATTAGCTGATCTTGACCTAGTGCATTGGCGGTTTTTGGCTACGGTCATGGCGCAGCTGTACAACCTCTACATCGCAATCGCATTTTTTAAATACTTTTGTTTCCTTTTAGTAAAATGTAAAATTAAATGGGTTTGTTTTAAAGTTTCAAAATATTACATCTTTTAACTTAGAAATGCGATTATGGGTGACATGGGTGAAGGGGGTCTGAAATTCTCTTAAACGGTTTGACGTACTTTACGGACGATCCCTTTATCTTTCTAATAGTGGATATTTGTATTAAATTTTTGTTTACTAAATAAACAACACGACATAAATAACGTACGTTTTTTTATATGCAAATAAGTACCAACATTATTTAAAAGAAATTAATTGTGTTCATTTGCTAATCAATTGCCACAAATATGTAAAAGTAAACCGTTACAATTATATTGAGAATCAAGCAACCTATACAAAAAGAAAATGGATGCAATAATAATAAGATAATATGTGTTCTAACTTAAAATTTCTAAAGATTTAAATTCAAACATCGATAGAAGCAAGTTGCTTCAAGCAACTCATAATCAAATCCCTGAGTTGGATATTCCCCATTAATGCTTGTGTTCAGAAGCTTTTAAAATTGACGTTGTACAGATGCAATGGTTATTGGACAAAATAAATTAAATACCAGATTAATGGAGGATAAATATAGCATTTTTCCTTCGTAAATATCATAGATTTAAATATTATATTTATTGTACCAATTAAAGAGATGACTGCAGTTTGGAAGACAAATCTTTGATAAAGACAAGAAGTACACTTTAACAGGCATTACACAATCCAAAAAAGCACCACAATAATGATACCTTTATGGTGATGCGTTCATTTCTTTCGCCAGGTATATTTGCCGCAATATTTTTAATTCTAAATATTTATTTGAACGGAAGTTTTAATAAAAATTGAAAATTAAAATCGATCTACAGATAAACAAAATTAAACAGATTTTTCTAACCAAATTAATTTTTATTGTTAATAACGATAAATCGTTACATTATATTCTAATGTAATTACATACTACCATATAAGGCTAAAAAGCAGTATCTCCAATATTTAGTAAAAAAGGACAAAAAACCATATTTAAAACTGTTTTTGTCTAAGTTACATTATAATATAATGACCTTTGGGGGTATCCAAAATACTTTTTACTAAAGGTAAATTTATTTGTACTTGTATTAAAAATTGTGTTTACTTTTGCAGTAGGAACTTATTTAAATTTGTGTATAGCAGTGTTATAATAACACAGCTTAAACATTAATTTGTATCAACTACATTACTAAAACCCTAATTAAAAGATGCTTAAAATAAAAAAAACAATTTAATTATCATTTATCACCGTATCAATTTATATGTAAATTTTACTCAACAATTTTAGAAATAAAGTTATTTGGAATTTTTTTTACAGGTATTAGGATTAAAATAATGGCGTTTAAATATAGGTGAAAAATTTTTGTACAGGTATTACGATTGTAATAATGATGTTTTTATAGAGGTATATTATAGGTATAAACATTTAATTTAAAATACAATCCTCAATCATGTTGTATTATTAGATATATTTTATTTAAGAAAACAAGATCATAAAAACCGCTTTATTTAAATTAACCGAAAAATGCAGACTATTCGATTGTATTAAACGACTTTATCACTATTCATCGACCGAGTATTTAGGTACTGAAATTAGTTGTTGAAAAGCCTGAAAGACGTAAGGAAGAAATGCCAAAAACCGGACTACAAGTTGCTGCGATCCACCAATATAGTACCATATATTATACGATGGCTTTCCTACAACGATTTTGAAATAGCTTTGTTTACAACCAACTTATTATTGGAATTGACAAACTATGCAATACACGAAGTATCTGAGGAATCCATTAAAGAAGTATTGGAGCATTCGTTAATTGAGTTTCTGGTGAATATTTTAAAGAACATGGATGAAGACTTGCTACGTGAGAGCGATATTTTTATGAATATTCTTTTTATAATTAAATGCTGCACGGGAAAGCACGAGCTGGACGTTTTGGAAGAAGCAAGGGACAAGGACAATTTGTACACCGATGAACCTCCGCCATCTTCTTGATGACAAAAACAATTTGACGGCGTTTAGTGAGTTGGGAGGCATTCAATATCTTTTAAAGCAGCTATCTCTTTATTCCAAGGAAGAACCAAAATCTTTGGAAGAAAGGGAGTAAGAAAAAACTTATTTGCTTGTATGGAGATTTCATTAAGTAAGCAAGAATAACAAGTTTAGTTTCTACAAGGCTACAGGAATTCATATTATGTAGCTTTTAGCCAGAAAAAATATATATGCAAGACGTAATGCCCTCAAAATTATTGATTTGGCTATGTATGGTAGACATGGAAAGTTTAACTGTACAAAATTTTCCGATTCGTTTGGATTAGGTATTATTTTTCCTTTATTTATGGAAACTCCAAGTAATATGTTTAATAATATCTATATCGATAACGATGATCTTGAGTTCCACATTTGTGTGCAAACGTGTGCAAACAGAGATAACAACATGAGGATCATAAATAAGTTTAGAGAAAATAATAAGGAAAAAACTATCCGGTTACTGGAACTGCACAAAAAATATATTTTTAAAGTAACCAGTTATCACAATGTAGTAAACATTGATAATGAAAGTGAGGCATCAGAAAATAATATGGTCATATGTAAGATATTAGGAACGACTCCTTAAGTACATTACAAATCATAGATTTTTTGCAGTAGGAACTTATTTAAATTTGTGTATAACAGTGTTATAATAACACAGCTTAAACATTAATATGTATAAACTACATTACTAAAACCCTAATTAAAAGATGCTTAAAATAAAAAAAACAATTTAATTATCATTTATCATCGTATCAATTTATATGTAAATTTTACTCAACAATTTTAGAAATAAAGTTATTTGAAATTTTTTTTACAGGTATTAGGATTAAAATAATGGCGTTTAAATATAGGTGGAAAATTTTTGTACAGGTATTACGATTGTAATAATGATGTTTTTATAGAGGTATATTATAGGTATAAACATTTAATTTAAAATACAATCCTTAATCATGTTGTATTATTAGATCCCCTGAAATCAGAGCACTTATAAAACGGAAGAGAGCCGCCAAAAAAAAAGCCGAACGCTCCCTAGACCCCAGAGAGAGGAATATTTACAACCGACTCTCAGCAGAAGTAAAGACGGCTCTTCGTGAACATAGAAATAAGAATTGGGAGGACACCCTTCAAAACCTAGAAACGTCAGACAAAAATATATGGCGAATAGTCAGAGGCCTAAAAACCACCGACCCTACCCAAATCCTGCCAATTCAAGGACCGGCGGGCCTACTATTTCAGAGCCAGGAAAAAGCCGACTTTTTCGCCCAACATCTGGAAGAACAATTTACTACAAACCCGCCGCTCCCTAAATACGCACAAGAAGACCAAGCCATGGCAGATTTTGTCGGCGATTTCATCCTGGATCCGGACGAAGAGGAAATACGCCCTTTCTCTCTGAATGAAATACGCACGATCATTGCAGGCCTCAGAAATAAGTCCGCAGCTGGAGAAGACCAGATACCCAACATCGCTCTCAAGCACCTTCCGGAGCCAACAATTATCCAACTGCGAACTCTTTTTAACTCCATTCTAAGGACAAAACACTTCCCCAGCTGCTGGAAAACTGCCAAGGTGATCCTCAACCCCAAGCCTGGCAAGAACCGTTTAAACCCAGAAGCATTCAGGCCAATCTCCCTGCTATCAACATTAGCAAAGCTTCTCGAGAGAGCAATCAAGTTACGCCTAGACCAGGAAATCATCCAAAAAAACCTGCTACCTGAGGAGCAGTTCGGCTTCCGAAAACAACTGTCCACAGAGCTCCAAATTCTCAGGATATCAGAGAACATCAACCAGGCCTTGGACAATAAGCTGAAGACCGGCATGATCCTGCTCGATATAAGCAAGGCGTTTGACCCTGTCTGGCATGTGGGTCTGCTAATAAAGCTTATTAACATGGAACTTTCAACCCCCCTGATAAAGCTTATCAAGTCATTCCTTGAAGATCGGTCCTTCTCAGCTACTATCGAAGACACGAAATCAGACCAAAGACCCGTTAGTGCAGGAGTACCCCAGGGGTCAGTGCTTGGGCCAACACTATTTAACCTATTTATGTCCGACCTTCCACGCACCCCAGGCACTGACCTTGCACTCTATGCGAACGACACAGCGATAATCGCCAGAAGCACAAACATCCACATGATCCAGACCAAGCTGCAAAAAGGACTAAAACGGATCCAGGACTGGGCTGACCGATGGCGTTTCAAAGTAAACCCAGATAAAAACCAGGCCATTATATTCCAAACCGGCAGGTCTCTCCCGCAAACCACAACTTACAAAGGCACAAATATTCCCTGGCGCCCCACTGTTACCTACCTGGGAGTAACCATGGACGCCAAAATGACTTGGCGCCCCCACATCGATGAGACACGTAGAAAACTCAGAGGCGCAAGCGCCGCGCTAAGGCCGTTGTATGCAAACTCTGCCCTCTCACTGAAGAACAAGCGCCTGATCTGGCTGTCCATCCTTAGGCCAATCGCCACCTACGCCTGCCCTGCATGGTCCACAGCCGCAAAAACTCACCTCAATAAACTCGAAGCACAACAAAGCCGATTTATGAGAACCATCACATCTGCCCCATGGTTCGTAACAAACGCGCAACTTAGAAGAGAGCTAGCTCTAGAACCTCTACTCACTACAATCGGTAAACTGACCGAAGCGACGTTGTTAAGAATAGAGGCGATAGACAACTCTCTCCTCACTGCCTCTATAGACTACATCCCAACAAATCGCAGAAGACACCGCGGAGCCCGGGGGGCAGTCGAATCACCTCTTGATTAAACGAAATTATGTTTTCACTATACTGTTTCTCCTAAAAAACTTGTATAACTGATTTAGAAAAGATGGAGATGGGTAAAAAAAAAAAAAATAAAAAATAAAAATTTAAAAAATAAAAAATCAAAAAAAAAAAAAAAAAAATTAAATAAACAAATCAAACTAAAATAATTTAAACTATTAGACACAAAAACTAAAATACATATTCTATAAAGCCCAACCCAACGACAAGTCAGAATATAAACATATTTACAAGTAATTACTTATTTAAAAGAGGCATTCCACACCCACCTCCCAAAATTTGCTATAATACACTTAAACTTATTTCGCTTTAACCATTAAACCAGCTGTTTCAGCCCCAAGCCAGGACGGAGGCCCACATGTTTCTCCACATCTACAAATCATGGTACAATCTATGCAGACAGCGGGAGTGCAGTGACTTATTATAGACACTGATACTCCCGTTCCCCTGCTATATAATATTTAGACCGCTGGCGGCCCAAATACCTTTACTATCCCGTCCCTCCACCCCAAAACCCAGTTTGCGCAAGCAAACCCCCACCACCAAACCCAATGCAACTATTCCTATCCAAGAGAAAGGGTAAAAGGTCCTACTGACCTACTCTTGCTCGGGTCCAAGCCCAGTAGCCCCCCTTTGTTGATCAGGTCACATTACATTACATTATTAGATATATTTTATTTAAGAAAACAAGATCATAAAAACCGCTTTATTAAAATTAACCGAAAAATGCAGACTATTCGATTTTATAAAACGACTTTATCACCATTCATCGATCGAGTATTTAGGTACTGAAATTAGTTGTTGAAAAGCCTGAAAGACGTAAGGAAGAAATGCCAAAAACCGGACTACAAGTTGCTGCGATCCACCAATAACGTACCATATATTATACGATGGCTTTCCTACAAAGATTTTGAAATAGCTTTGTTTACAACCAACTTATTATTGGAATTGACAAACTATGCAATACACGAAGTATCTGAGGAATTCATTAAAGAAGTATTGGAGCATTCGTTAAATGAGTTTCTGGTGAATATTTTAAAGAACATGGATGAAGACTTGCTACGTGAGAGCGATATTTTTATGAATATTCTTTTTATAATTAAATGCTGCACGGGAAAGCACGAGCTGGACGTTTTGGAAGAAGCAAGGGACAAGGACCTTCTAGATTGGGTGACTAATAATTTTAAATATGAAAACAATTTGTACACTGCGATGATCCTCCGCCATCTTCTTGATGACAAAAACAATTTGACGGCGTTTAGTGAGTTGGGAGGCATTCAATATCTTTTAAAGCAGCTATCTCTTTATTCCAAGGAAGAACCAAAATCTTTGGAAGAAAGGGAGTAAGAAAGAAACTTATTTGCTTGTATGGAGATTTCATTAAGTTGCAAGAATAACAAGTTTCGTTTCTACAAGGCTACAGGAATTCATATTATGTAGCTTTTAGCCAGAAAAAATATATATGCAAGACGTAATGCCCTGAAAATTATTGATTTGGCTATGTACGGTAGACATGGAAAGATTAACTGTAAAAAATTTTCCGATTCGTTTGGATTAGGTATTATTTTTCCTTTATTTATGGAAACTCCAAGTAATATGTTTAATAATATCTATATCGATGACGATGATCTTGAGTTCCACATTTGTTCTATTATTCAGTCCATAACGTGTGCAAACAGAGATAACAACATGAGGATCATAAATAAGTTTACAGAATATAATAAGGAAAAAACTATCCCGTTACTGGAACTGCACAAAAAATATATTTTTAAAGTAACCAGTTATCACAATGTAGTAAACATTGATAATGAAAGTGAGGCATCAGAAAATAATATCGTCATATGTAAGAAAATTAGGAACGACTCCTTAAATACATTACAAATCTTAGATTTTATTATTTTGGAGCGGTGTGTTACTGGTCCACCAGAAATTAGCAAAAAGAGTAGAAGAAATTTTAAAAAGCCAAAATCTCTCAATTGACGGAATAAAAACCACCGTGGAGTATTTTGTAAAATTTTTGGAACGGAATGATGAAGATATTTATCAAGAAAACAAGGATTACTTTAAAAGTTTATTAGAGAAAATATAATTGTATATTTGTTCGTTTTGTAAATATATGTATTAAATTATTTATACCAGAATTGTTTAATTTTATTTAAAATATTTATAT